ATAGGCTTACAGCCAGTAAGCTACAGCTGCATACACTGACACAAGGAGACACCACAGACATGAAGCCGGCAAGGGTGTCAGGTGGGGTGTCACGCCATGCCAGTATTTGTAAACATTCAAAGGATAGGCAAACCTGGACAACGGTTAACCATGGGTACCTTGCTGACAGACACAAATAAGTGCAAGGTGCTTACATGACTCATACCTGAATTTCACTACTAAGCGTAGCCTGAGAGCTGGCAGGAAGGAGCTGTGCATTCAGGCCCCACAGGCTTCTGCTCCCTGAGTGCAGGTGACAGATGCTCATTCATAACTCATTGTGTTGACTTCTCGCTGCAGATTTGTTATATTCCACAGGACCAAGGCTTCTAGAATCTCAACTTGGAGCATCGCTTTCTCTGAGCACCGGCCGCTATGGTAGCAAAAGAGTCCTTGGACAGCCTGCCAGCTGTGGGAGTTTCCCAGAGATGCCTACTGCCCTGCTGTGAGTAGCAGCTCAACAGCAGCCATTCCTGGTGGGCATGGTAGTGAATGAGTTCAGTTATTGCACTAGTGCTGCGTTTGACTGCTCATCTCCAGAACTCATGTGCTGGATACCTAATCCCACCCCCTGCAGTTTCCTGTGTGCCAACAGCGTCTAGGAGGTGATGGAGTTGCATGGGCTCTGTTGCACTGACCATCCCTGGCTAGTGGGTTGCTCTGAGAGTGGCTCTGTTTTATAACACTCTAGCCTACTTGCTCTGTGTCCTTGTGATGCCCTCCACATGCCACAACCCAGGAGGAAGAACCTCACAACTGGCCCCTGTGCTTGCCCTTCCTAGCTCCAGAACTTTGAGCTATGTGAACTTCTATTCTGCAGCATTCAATTATAGCAAAAGAAAATCTTCTGAGACAGCCAGTTAAAAAAAAAAAAAAAAAGGATGCAGCCACAGACATGATGGAGCAGGCCTGTAATCCCAACGGCTTGGGGGGCCAAGGCAGGAGGATTGTGAGTTCAAAGCCAGCCTTAGCAACAGTGAGGTGCTAAGCAACTCAGTGAGACCCTGTCTCTAAATAAAATACAAATTAGAGGTGGGATATGGCTCAGTAGTTGAGTGCCCCTGAGATCAATCCCTGGTACAAAAAAAAAAAAAGATGCAAATTCTAAAAGTTAAGTGATAGATTAGAAAAAATAATCAATTGAAATCAATATTATGGGAGACTGAATTTTAAGTGCTAATAAATGTGAATATTAAAACAAGATTTAAAGGTGATCACAAAATGTTCTTTACTTATCACATCTTTATTAGTGTTGTACTCACATATGGAAACATGATTGTTTTAAGAATGTTGCCTGAGTTTCTAGACCTTATCTTTAAGTGGGGCAGGGATGTCTTCCCCGGAGAAGGTGGCTGCCAGGACTGCAGAAGGCTCTGTGTGAACTTGCAGGGCAGCGCTGGCTCTGTGACTGTAACAACTCCTCCTTCCCCAGCAGTCTGGAGGGAAGTTATCTCCCACTACTGTGGTGCTTCTCCCCAGAACCAGCATCTCCTTGACCCCCGATCTCCAAATCACTCTGCTGGCTGCAGCTGCTGTGGGGTCCTCTCTGCTGGGGAAAGATGTGACAGTGCACAGGGTGATGAGAAGGAGAGGAGCTTTGCTGGGGAAGGCTGCCAGAAAGCTCTAAGATTGTGTACAGGTTGGCTCCAATTTCTACCCCTGGTTTTAGGTGTCAGAAACGAGGTTGAGTGTGGAGGGGTGTTTGAGGGGTCTCTGTGACTGTGACAGAAACCCTGAAAGAAAGCTCTGCACATCTGGGACCAGGACTGTCCTCCCGTCTTTGCCTACATAGTGTCCCCCACTGGGGAAGATGGTGACCTCTGTCACAAGCCCGGAAGGGACTGTGCATGTGGGGAACCTGTGGCTGCAGTACCTGTGACACTGGAAGGAGGAAAGGACCTTTCCAGCCTACCCAGGCTCCAGGCAGGGCTCCTCCACACAAAAACAGGGTGTCCCTGGGCTCAGGATAAAACTGAACTCCTGTCTCAGCCTAAAGACGCATCTCAATGGAATACCTGCTGCCTGTGGTCTGCAGCTTTTCTGTGAGTGCCGCTCTCCTGGGGGCCTTTGCTTCTGCTGCCCAAGCTCCTCCTCCAAGCCCCTCCCCACCCCAATACAGAGGTGCCCTGCACCGCTATGAGCTATGTGCTGTCAGGGGCAGACCCACCTGCAAACTTATTGACCCGTGCAGACCAGGTGAAACTAAATCCTGATGTGTGTTTGGACCCTGTCTCTGCTGAAACCCAATCTGAAGAGAAAGACATATTTGGACCACAGGGAAATGCTGCAATATGGGGGCCACCTACCAGGGACTTGGAAGGGCAAAAAGGCAATTGGAGGAGTAGGGAAAAGGCCAACAGAGCCACTGACTCCACCAGTGAGTTTAAGAAACCGGGAGGTGGTCCACGGGCTGGAAGTACCTAGTGAGGGGAGAAACTCCACCGGAGGTACTGCCCTCTGCGGGGTCTGACGACAGGAGCTCTCCCCGCACAACCCCAGCCTGGTCTCTAGCTCCTGAAGAACGCAGCCCACCCCTTCAGCGAGGGAGGCAGCGGCCAGCAGTTTCTTCTTTCTTTGGCCGGTAGGCTGCGCCATCCCCACGTCCGGAGCACAGAAGTGGCTCCATTCACCGGCGGTGGTGGCAAACGTCGTTTCCCTGGAAACCGCAGTAACCGCTGGGAGTCGGAAGCTTCGTTCACGCGCGTGGGCGCCACGACCCTCATACAAGCTGGCTCACATGCGGCCCTCCCCAAACTCACACCCCGCTTACGCAGGCCGAATCGCCATGCCTGTTTTCTGGCTAGTCACCCTGCAGAGGCGCGGGACCCACTGGCTGCTATTCCAAAATGTGCATTCCCTGCCACAGAGAAAACAGCTCGTTCTCCTCGCAGCTAGGGATCTGAAGTGAACCCCATGCAGATGTCCAGGGAGCACAGGAAGGCCTTCACATGTTTTCCCATTGGGCGGGTGGTTTCGGCGAGGCGTGGGCAAGGGCCCTTTGCATAGCCTCAGACCACGTGGGTGCGGCTTCTCAATGCGCAGGCTTCCCGCCCACCAGGAGCCCTGGACCCTTTAGGACCAGGAAGCACGCACTGGACTATGCCTCTGGCAGCCGGAACCTGCGGAGCCAGTGTCTGGCGCGCAGGCGCGTCCTTGAGCACTCCCAACAGCACCCCGGGTCCTCCCCAGCCCGGCCACGGGTTCTGCCACCGCATCCAGTGGGGTCTCAGACGCTGCGCAGGCGGCCTGAGTCACCAGCACCAGGGACAGAGAAGCAGCTCAACTGGAGCTCCAGAGGGTTTGGGTCCTAGGAAGCTCGGGACCGGCCCACGGCGCCCTCCAGTTTTTCCGCACCTGAGAGGCGATTTGCCGCCCCACCCACTTTACGCAGGTCCAATCAATTCACCTGAGCCCGCGACTGCGGAAATTTCGTGCCTGATCCGCAGACTGGACCCAAACCCAAACAGATTCACCCGTTGTTTTCCCCATGACTTTACCCCAGCTCCGCTCTGTGGCTGGTCCTACAGCCTACCCAGATCGCACACAGGGCAAACCGCAAACAACATGAACAACACACCCGCATTGCACATATAACACAGCACACTGCAAACCGCACACACAACATAGTACTGCACATTGCACACACTACACCCCTCACAACACACCTCACACAACACACACGCAACCCGCAATACACCACAACGGACAGCCTCACAACCGTAACACCCCCTCACACGTACTGAATACATGACACACAACACGGCACACGCACTGCGCACTGCACACACGACACGACATCCCACATAGACAACATCCCCAAATGCACACACCCCATACATATCCCTCACACACAAAGCACACCGCACACACTCCCCTTCATCCGCACATGCCAGCACTTCCCAGAGATCCAGACTCCGTCCTGCAATCCCCGAGCAGCCCCTCAGCACCTAGGCTCCCCTCACCGTTTCCCAGCGCCCTCAGCTAACTTCTTCTGGCCGAGGGTGGGCGTGGAGAGCGGTCGGGCGGGGTGGATAGGGAGGTGCGATCTTAGGC